ATGGAAACCATGCATTTTCTTCTCTTGAGAAGCTTGCTCTGTAGTGCAAGAGGCAGAATGCTAAAAGTCTGGGCTTCAGTTTCCTCAGCTGTAAAGTAGGGATAATAGTTAGACCACATGTAGCTAACTGTGTGGATTAAGTGAGGTAATGTCTCAAAGCCATCAGGATGCTGCCTGGTATGTAGTAAGTGCAGTTTAAGTGTTTCAGCAAAATAGATGAGCTAGAGGACATTAACATGTGATAAGAACCTAGCATGAGCATGTAGGCAATAAGTAAAGTGCTCCGCTTCTGGAGTCCGGAAGATTTTGATGGGGAGTGTGATGGTGGGGAGTGGCTCCACTGGGGAGTTGAGACTTCATCTGGGCCTTGAGGGATGAATAAGAGTTCAGTATGTAGAGTAACAGGTAGGAGAATTTCCAGAAATGGGAGCAGCACAAGCTGTCTTCTAACTCAAAGAGCCCTGCCCACAACATTCTGCCCAGAAAGCTTCCCTGGCTCCAGCTCACTCCACTGAGCCAGTTGGTACCAGGTCTTCTCCTCTGCAGCAGTTGGCACATGCCTCTTTTTCAACACCATCTCACCATTTGGCGACACTTTTCCTCTAATATTCACTGAATGTTTATTGAATACTGTCTTGGTACTGATCCTCATGCTGGGTGCAGTCACTGCCCTCAGAAACCCCTGGAATAATGAGGGGCTTTCCCTGGCACCAGTGGGTTCCCATAGCATACTGTCTGGTTCAATATAGCTTAAAAATACCATTGAGAGAGCTTATGCATCTATAAATAAAGGAATCCTTCCCATGCCCCTGGTTTTGGATACGGAAGGAATTGTCTGTCGCTGTGTGAAAGGGATGGAGATCATTCTTGTGTTCACTCTTTCTGTGAGTTCTGTTTATGTATTCAAAGAGTTGCTCTTTTTATAGAGCTCAGAGCATCTCAAAGGAAAAAGAATCATTGAATATTATTGATAACAGTTTAGGAGGACTTGAAGGATCTGTCAGTTTCTTTAAACAACTGTATGTTGTAGCTGTTTGCAGTCTATTTGCAGCCTTTGAAGTTTGTGTATATTTTATCTTCTGTGTGTCCCATGGCTGGGTTCACAGTCTATATGGAGGATAGAGCAGAGCATGGGGCATGTTACAAGCTGAATCACAAAGCTGTTTGGCAGTTTTCAATCCTAGAAATCCTGTGTTAGGGGGAAAAAATCAGCCTGGCAACTGTTTTTTTTTTTTTAAACAATCCAAAATTTCTCATTTTGCCCTGTTGTAGTAGTGAACTTGAGTTTCATTCATGACTATTTCAGTTACAGCAGAAAACTCAAATATTTAAAATAAGACCATAAAGAGTAGTGGTCACATGATGAGATGTGTATCTCTGACCAAGATAAGGAGTATGCTGAGAGGTGATGTATTGGGAGGGGGGCAAGTGGATGGTGATGAACACTGGAAGCAAAAGACCAACAAGGAAAGAACTTCAATAATTTGCTCAGGAAACCCATAAAACAATCCAGTGAAGAAATGGGCAAAAGACATGAATAGATACTTCTCCAAAGAAGACATCCAGATGGCCAACCGACACATGAAAAAATGCTCCACATCACTCATCATTAGGGAAATACAAATCAAAACCACAATGAGATACCACCTCACACCTGTCAGAATGGCTAACATTAACAACTCAGGCAACAACAGATGTTGGTGAGAATGTGGAGAAAGAGGATCTCTTTTGCACTGCTGGTGAGAATGCAAACTGGTACAACCACTCTGGAAAACAGTATGGAGGTTCCTCAAAAAAATTAAAAATAGATCTACCCTATGACCCAGCAATTGCACTAGTAGGTATTTACCCAAGGGGTACAGGTATGCTGTTTCAAAGGGGCACATACACCCCAATGTTTATAGCAGCACTATCGACACTAGCCAAAGTATGGAAAGAGCCCAAATGTCCATCAGTGGATGAATGGGTAAAGAAGATGTGGTATGTATATACAATGGAGTATTACTCAGCAATCAGAAAGAATGAAATCTTGCATTTGCAACTACACGGATGGAACTAGAGGGTATTATGCTAAGCGAAATTAGAGAAAGACAAATATCATATGACTTCACTCATATAAGGAATTTAAGATACAAAGCAGATGATCATAAGGGAAGGGAAGCAAAAAATAATATAAAAACAGGGAGGGGACGAAACGTAAGAGACTCTTAAATATAGAGAACAGAGGGTCACTGGAGAGGTTGTGGGAGGGGGAATGGGCTAAGTGGGTAAGGAGCATTAAGGAATCTATTCCTGAAATCATTGTTGTACTCTATGCTAACTAACTTGGATATAAATTAAAAAATAAATTTAAAATAACAAAGAAAAACTAAAAACATAATAATTTGCTCAGGAAGTTGGAGGATGTGCACTAAGGCAGCAGTGGTGAGAATGAAGAGAAGGAAAAGCACAAGAGATATTTTCTTTCCAGGTAGGATTGACAGGATTCGGTGGCTGTTGGAAAGGGAGAAAGTGACCTGTGTGAACTCTGAGCTTTCTGTTTTGGGTAATGAGTGATGTGGTATTGTTCATGGGGTGAGGAGGAGAGGTGGAAAAATGGGTTTGGAAGGAAAGATGATTTCAGTTTCGGATATGTGGAGTTTAGAATACCTGTGAAATGTGTATTGAGAGAGAGGTTTATGGGCACTTGGATAAATAGACTAAATTAAAGAGAGAAGATCTGAAAACAGAAGTGGGGCAGGGGGTGGACAGCACATAAATCCTGTCCATGCCTTGACACTAGATGAGATTGCCCAGGGACCAAGAGATGAATGAAACTTAGGCAATTGATTTTGTGTATATATTCATGTGGCCTTCGAGCACTTACAAGGTCATTATAAATACATTGACAAATAAGGGAAAGAAAGTCTTTGGTTAGGCTATTGTTTTGAGTTTTGGCTCATAACATGTGGTCTGTGGTGGTAAATGACATCTCAAGGTCCCTTCCCACATGAACAAAGGGAGATATTTTTAAGTGAAGCTCTATTTTACAATTACAACTGTAGGACAGCAGAGAAATCAGACTTTGAGCTGAGGTAGCATTTTTCTTCTCCCCTCCAATTGAAGCTTTCTTTGAATTTGGAAATCATATCTTTCTTTATCTGGGTCAAGGACTTGAAGAAAGGCTAAGTGAGCTTGGTGCAAAACAGCATGTTCAGATGTTCACATTAATCCCGTTAAACTACTCACACAGAGAAAGTAGATGGCGAGAAAAGACAAAAGTAAAGAAATTTTTAACAGATGGTTGTTTTTATTATTTATTTATCTATCTATTTCTGATTTACTTTAAACTTGGCTACTACAATCACTTTGAAAGCAAATCATGCCTCTTTGGTGAGTGGATAGCTGGTATTAATGGCTTTTGTTGCCATAGCCATTAAACTCCCCCCACCCCAAATCTTTGTGAAAAGTATTAAATATTCTCAGGGCGCCTGGGTGGCTCAGTCAGTTAAGCATCCTACTTCAGCTCAGGTCATGATCTCATACTCTGTGAGTTTGAGCCCCGCGTTGGGCTCTGTGCTGACAGCTCAGAGCCTGGAGCCTGCTTCAGATTCTGTGTCTCCCTCTCTCTCTGTCCCTCCCCTGCTCATGCTCTGTCTCTCTCTGTCTCAAAAATGAATAAAAACATTAAAAAAATAAAAATATTCTCAGGATTCCGGTTTCTTTGGTTGTTCAAAACCTGTTTAAATGTACCATTAACACAACAATCCTTTAAGAATCTATAAGCCAAATGGTAGTGGGACTATTTGATTAATAAATAATTATTCTGTGTTTAATTTAACGAAAAAAATCTTAAGACTGTAACAGATAAATCAGCATATGACATAAACATTTAATTTCAGAAAACAGTGCAAATTAGAATAGAGGAGAGTTTATTGTATATGAGTTACAGAGATCTAAAATTTGAACAAAATTTAAGGTACATTTAAAATCTCATTCAATTCCAAAACATTTTTTTCATAGATAAACCTCATTACTAGAAAATATGCAGTGAATTTTTTTAACCATTATACTCCAATTGCAATGGATGTTGGCATCATGGTTTTATAAATAACAATATTCTTAGAGTAAAAACTGACTCAGCAATTCAGCCCCTGAAATTTATCTTAAATATTCTAAAAGAAAAAATCCACATACTTGAAATTTCTGTTGTAGCATTATCTAGAGAGAGCAATTGTCAAGAATCAGAATGTCCCAAAAGATTCAAAAATTGCCCTAGAAATCATGGATCTTGATTCAATATAACATTAAAATTATTAGAATTGGTAATTGGTAAGACTATAAGGAGACAGGAAAACTGGTTGGTAGACCCTTTGGGGGGTTAAGTATAAAGAAGGATACTTTATTTTGTACCTTGTAAAGCCAAATACCAGGAAAAATAGTTTGCTCTTCATGTTTTACTTTGGCCAGAAGTAAGCTCTTTACAGCTAGCAACTCTGTCTTAGTCATCATCCTTTCTCTAGTGCTCAGTAAATGTTTGCTAAATTGAACCTAATCTCTGCACATCTAATATGTACAAATGAAAGGGGTAGGGAATTTAAATGACTTTTAACTTAAAAATTCCCTAATGTCACTTTTCATATTATATGTAGGACACAGAGATATATAAGATATATCTCAAATTTTCAGAGATAATTTGGGGGAAAAAGTACAATCCATGATATGCTATCATAAAAATACATTTGAAGGAAATATATTATTTATATGTTGTACTATATAGTGGAGTCCAGGTGCAAAATAGTATGTTCTGGATATGATACTATGATATTTTTGGATATTAGCATTCTAATCCTGGAAAATAGATAATCACGGTTATAAAATATATTCACTGTGTATCAGGTAATATTAGACAACAAAACACACATTACTGGTAAATGAAATTTCATACCATACATGCAGTTCTATTAAAAACAAATACTAGTAATGCACTGCAGAAATAAGGTTATTTTTTTTTTTTTTGATGTCTGATCTTATTTATTTGTTACTCTTAGAAAAATCTCCTTTCTGTCTGAACTGAGAAGCTCTCAGAGAAGACAGCGTCTGTCTCTTGGCAATCTGTTCCTGGCGTTTTTCTTTGGCCTCCTTCAGTCTGTTGGCCACAGGTTTAGTATATTCTGCAGCCTCTTCCTTACTTAGTGCACTGCTTCTTCTACGCAGTATGCTGACATTTGTTTTGGAGGACACATGGAGTAACAAGACGCTGAATCTTGGGTGCTTTGGTTCTAGGTTTTTTACCTTCAATTGATGCAAAGTTACTTTTGGATTTCTCCATCTCTCCCTCCTCCACCTTCTCCATTTTTCTTTATGTTTTCTATTTTTTGTGTGTGAAAACTTGCATCTTCTATTCTGGCACATACTATAATTGTAGAGATGTGATTTAAAAAATATCAGCTACCTCCAGTCTACCTCCAGATTGTGCGTGGGGATGTTCTCCTGCCTGTGGACATAGGAGCATCTTTGTCCCAGACCTTCAGCCATCAGAGCCCTTTTATTCTGGAGGAGTTGTAAAGAACATAGACTTTGTTCAGAAAAGAATATGGACATTTATCTTCACCCTGGAAGCGCTGCGATTTGCGCTCAGGCATAGCTACTCCAGTCAGGAAGGACGGGCAACAGCTGGGTCGGTGCTGAGTGGCCTGCAGCATTTGCTTGTAGTCGAGATGAATTTGCCACTCAATCCCAAATCTTTCCTGAATGGATTAACAGGAAAGCCAGTGATGGTGAAACTCAAGTGGGGAATGGAGTACAAAAGCTATCTGGTATCTGCAGATGGCTGTATGAACATGCAGCTTGCAAACACAGAAGAATATACAGATGGAGCATTGTCTGGTCATTTGGGTGAAGTTTTAATAAGGTGTAATGTTCTTTAATTCAGGGGTGTTGAAGAGGAAGAAGATGGGGAGATGTGAGAATAGCATCTTATGTGGTGAATTTATATGTATGTCCAGACAATAAACATGTTTAAAAAAAAAAAAAGAATATGGACTTTGAAGTCACCTAGGCATTATTGAAACTGTTTCTGAAGTAAATCAGCCAAATATCCTTAGAAAGCCTCTCAATCTATCGAACTCACTTATTTTAAAAACTGGGTTAATAATATGACCTTATATGGTTTTGTGAGGAGCTAAAAGGGTAATTCTCATGAACAACCCAGCACTGCACCCAGGCATGTTATAGACAACCATGGTGGTTTCCTTTATATCTTCTATGAAAAATGCCTCACTGTATGAAGCACCTATGCCTTCTAAAGCAGCCCATGCCCTGCTTATTAATTTACTTGGGCTGCCATAAAAAAGCAGTGCAGACTGGGTAGCTTGCATGACAGAATTTTTTTTTTTTCAAGTTAGTTAACATACAGTGTGGTTTTTGCTTTAGGAGTAGAACCCAGTGATTCATCTCTTACATAGGACACCCAGAGCTCATCCTGAAAAGTGCTCTCCTTAATGCCTGTCACTTATTTAACGCAGCCCCACCCCCCGAACCTTCCCCGCCCCACTCCCTAGTAACCCTCAGTTTGATCTCTGTATTTGAAAGTCTCTTATGGTTTGCCTCCCAATGTTTATAGTACCACTGTCAACAATAGCCAAATTATGGAAAGAGCCCAAATGTCCATTGACTGATGAATGGATAAAGATGATATAGTGTGTGTATATATATGTATGTATATGTGTATATAGTGTATATAATGGATAAATATGATATAGTGTGTGTATATATACATATGTATGTATATGTGTATACACACACACACACACACAATGGAATACCACACAGTGATGAAAATTGAGATCTTGCCATTTGCAACAACATGGATGGAACTGGAACGTATTATGCTAAGCAAAATAAGTTAGAGAAAGATATCACATGAAATCATTCATATGTGGAATTTGAGAAAATCAACACATGAACATTAGGGGAAGGGAAGGAAAACAAATTTATTTACAATTTTGAAAGCCAGAAGTCCAAGGTGTCAGTTTGGTTCCTTCTGAGGCTTTTCTCCTTGGCTTGTATATGGCTGTCTTCACACAGTCTTAACTCTGCCTGTTATGTGTATCCAAATTTCCTCTTGTAAAGACAGTAGCCATATGGGATTAGGGCTTACTCTAATCACCTCATTTTAACTTAATTGCCTCTTTAAAGACCCTACCTCCAGATACAATTACATTCTAAAATACTGGAGGTTTGGACGAAGATACTAATTTTTGTTGGGACACAATTCAGTCCATGCCCTGCCCTCTTCACTTTGGATTTTTAAAGTTTATTTATTTTGAGAGAGAGAGCACATGTAAGAGAGTGCTAGTTGCGGAGGGGCAGAGGAGAGATAATATCCCAAGCTGTCACCATAGAGCTCATCGCGGGATCAATCTCACCAAATGTGAGATCATGACCTGAGCCGAAATTAAGAGTTGGATGCTTAACTGACTGAGTCACCCAGGTGCCCTCACTTTAGATTTTAGAGACGTGTTCCAAAGAGAAGCTCTGTTGAGATCCCAGCCAAGTCTACATGGACAATACTTCACCTTTACTATTATCTACATTGTTTCACCGTGTATGTTTGAAATGTATTGGCAGTAGTTGCAAATGCACACACATAGAAAAAAGGTAAAAGGGAGTTGACATGTTTAGTGAATATGCTCTTGAATATGCTATTAATTCTTTCACTCACACATTGAATGGGTTTGTCCACACACATCAATTGAGCGTTCACCATATCCCAGGCATTGCTATAGGCCTTGGGAGGTGAGAAGAACACATTGTGTTTGCTTTCGGGAGCTTAATCAAGAGAGGAAGGGAGGGAGTCAGAGAAACAGGAATTCTGAAAATTTCAAGACAATACAGTAGTGCAAAAGGTAGATAAGCATAGGATATTACATTAAATAACAACGGTATGATTCTAATATTAGAAATGCGATTGGAAAATTTCCTATGCAGAGTGAGGCTAAGAGATAAGGGTTAGGGTTTTAGAACAACAGTTTACCTACCTCTTATCTACATCCTAAAGTAGATCTGACCTAGAGTACTAGCTTGATTATTGGGAGAATAAAAGTCTGAAGTTTATCCACTCTGGAAATTGAACTAATCTTTCTGCTTAGGTATATAATTGACCCTATTTATAATGGCATGATTCTCTTAGAACTTTAGATGCAGGATCTTAAATTCATGAATTGGTGTATCAAATACTAAAGTATGAAAATACCCCAAAACACTAAATACAAATACTGAAAAAGTGGTAAGGATTTCAGGAGATAAGGAATAGCAAGAGTGCTGGAAGCTGGAATAATAAAGGCAGCATTGAATGTTGCATTCCAAATCATAGTTTTGATTTCATGAGTTTTAGGTGGGAGGAATAGTGAAAGGATCTGGTCTAGGGGTATCAGGTGGTAAAGCAATCATGGGTTGTCTTTGGGGGAGCACTAGGAAAGAGCAGCTCATATGAATGACCCAAAAGAGTGAGCTACAGTGCTTTTATATTATAAGGGGGAGTATTGCAGAAACCAGGAACAAGGATGTGTGTGGATATTTGTAGGGGAAGGAGTAGGTGCTTTCCTATGGCCAGTGTCCTCAGTAGCTTCTATGAAGATGGTGGGTTAAGGATTAATTTTATTTATCTATGTATTTATTTATGTATTTATGTATTTATTTTAGTGAGCATTAGAGTTACATTTTATTTTTTACATGTAATTTATTGTCAAATTGTTTTCCATAAAACACCCAATGCCCATCCCAACAGGTGCCCTCCTCAATGCCCATCACCCACTTTCCCCTCTTCCCCACCCCCCATCAACCCTCAGTTTGTTCTCAGTATTTAAGAGTCTCTTATGGTTTGCCTCCTACCCTCTCTGTAACTTCCCCCTCCGCCGCCCTCCCCCTTGGTCTTCTGGTGAGTTTCTCAGGATCCACATATGAATGAAAACATATGGTATCTGTCTTTCTCTGCCTGACTTATTTCACTTAGCATAACAGTCTCCAGTTCCATCCACGTTGCTGCAAGTGGCCAGATTTCATTCTTTCTCATTGCCAAATAGTATTCCATTGTATATCTAAGCCACATCTTCTTTATCCATTTGTCGGTTGATGGACATTTAGGCTCTTTCCATAATTTGGCTATTGTTGAAAGTGCTGCTATAAACATTGGGGTACAGGGGCACCTGGGTGGTTCAATTGATTGAACGTCTGACTTCAGCTCAGGTCATGATCTCACAGTTAGTGGGTTTGAGCCCCGCATTGGGCCCTGTTCTGACAGTGCAGAGCCTGGAGTCTTCTTCCAATTCTGTGTCTCCCTCTCTCTCTGCCCCTCCCCCGCTCATGCTCTGTCTCTGTCTCTCAACAATTAAAAAACCCCCAAAACATTGGGATACAAAGGGCACCTGTCATCAGCACTCTTGTATCCCTTGGGTAAATTCCTAGCAGTGCTATTGCTGGGTCATAGGGTAGATCTATTTCTAACTTTTTGAGGAACCTCCACACTGTTTTCTAGAGTGGCTGCACCAGTTTGCATTCCCACCAACAGCGCAAGAGTGTTCCATTTTCTCCACATTCTCTCCAGCATCTATAGTCTCCTTATTTGTTCATTTTAGCCACTCTGACTGGTGTGAGGTGGTATCTCAGTGTGGTTTTGATTTGTATTTCCCTGATGAGGAGTGATGTTGAGCATCTTGTCATGTGCCTGTTGTCCATCTGGATGTCTTCTTTAGAAAAGTGTCTATTCATGTCTTCTGTCCATGTCTTCACTGGATTATTTGTTTTTCAGGTGTGGAGTTTGGTAAGTTCTTTATAGATTTTGGATACTAGCCCTTTGTCCGGTATGTCGTTACAAATATCTTTTCCCATTTCGTTGGTTGCCTTTTAGTTTTGTTGATTGTTTCCTTTGCCGTGCAGAAGCTATGAAGCCAGCACTACTTTGATTCCCAAACCAGACAGAGATCCAGCAAAAAAGGGAACTACAGGCCAATATCCCTGATGAATACGGATGCAAAAATTCTCCACAAGATGCTAGGAAATTGAATTCAACAGCATATAAAAAGAATTATTCACCATGATCAAGTGGGATTCATTCCTGGGCTGCAGGGCTGGTTCGATATTCACAAATCAATCTGTGATACATCACATTAAGAAAAGAAAAGATAAGAACCATATGATACTGTCAAGCGATGCAGAAAAGGCCTTTGACAAAATCCAGCACCCTTTCTTAATAAAAACCCTCGAGAAAGTCGGGATAGAAGGAACATACTTAAAGATCATCAAAGCCATTTATGAAAAGCCCACAGCTAACATCTTCCTCAATGGGGGAAAACTGAGAGCTTTCCCCCTGAGATCGGGAACACGACAGGGATGTCCACTCTCACCGCTGTTGTTTAACATAGTGTTGGAAGTTCTAGCTTCAGCAATCAGACAACAAAAGGAAATCAAAGGCATCAAAATTGGCAAAGATGAAGTCAAGCTTTCACTTTTTGCAGATGACATGATATTATACATGGAAAATCCGATAGACTCCACCAAAAGTCTGCTAGAACTGATACATGAATTCAGCAAAGTCGCAGGGTACAAAATTAATGTACAGAAATCAGTTGCATTCTTATACACTAAGGAAAATTGGGAAGATAAAGAAATTTCCTATATACGTCTTAGCCCCCAATATACATAGCCTCCCCCCATTATCAGCATCACTCACCAGAGTGTTCTATTTGTCAACTGACAAAACCTACGTTGATGCATCATTATCACCCAGAATCCATACTTTATATTGGGGTTCATTCCTGGTGGTGTATATTCTTTGTGTTTGGACAAATGTGTAATTATATGTATCCACCATTATAGTACCATACAGAGTAGTTTCAGTGCCCTAAAAATCCTCTGTGTTCCACCTATTCATCCTTTTCTCACTAACCCTTGTCAACCCTTGATCTTCTTACTGTCGTCATAGTTGCCTTTTCGAGGATGTCAGATAGTTGGAATCTTATGGTGTGTAACTTTTAAAGACTGTGTTCTATCAGTAATATGCATTTAAGATTTCTCTACCTTTTCATAGCTTGATAGCTCATTTCTCTTCAGCTGAATAACATTCTATTTCCTGAATGTACCACAGATTATTCATTCACCTACTGAAAGATGCCTTGGTTGCTTCCAAGTTTTGGAAGTTATGAATAAAACTACATACATCC